GCATGCGCAGCATCTTCGTCTGCGGCAATGCAGCATCTGCTGCTGGACTCACTGCAGCAGCAGTTCGAGAGACAGGCACGGGGGACCTCGTCGTCGAGGCAGGTCAGAACCCTAAACCCTAAACCCTAAACCCTAAACCCTAAACCCTAGGCCTGAAGCGCTTCAGAGCTGCACGTAACGCTGAGCTGTATACACACGCATTGTTATAACAATCATTATTAATTATTATTATTATTATTGTTATTATTATTATTGTCATTATTGTTATATTTATTATTGTTGTTATATTTATTATTATTATATTTGTTATTATTATTCTTGTTGTTATTGTTATTTATTATCATTGTTATTACTATTTGCTTTTATTATTATGATTAGTATTATCAATAGTCGCAAACAAATCTACAGGAGACAAAACCCTAAAAGAGCGTTAAAGTTTGTGGGGGTCTCAGGGGGTTTGTTTTTAACAGAAATTGAATTTTAAATTATTTTCTGAATTAGAAAATGTTTAAAAATAAAAGTCCTTTATTTGCTGCACTTGGGGTTTGAGTTTTGAGCGAACCGAGTGCGGGCCCTGCAAACCCTAAATCAGGGTTTAGGGTTTAGGGTTTGGCCTGCGCTGCAGGCGCGCTGGTGCTGGCCGACGGGGGCGTTTGCTGCATCGACGAACTGGACAAAATGGCTGCTGCTGCAGCAGCAACAGGAGACACTGCTGCTTTAATTGAAGCCATGGAGCAGCAAACTGTCACTGTCTCCAAGGCCTCCTGCTGCTGCTGCTTGCCCGCAAGAACCACCTTAATTGCTGCTGCAAACCCCAAAGAAGGACGGCTAGAGTCAGGCCTGTTGCTGCTGCTGCTGCTGCTGCTGCTGTGGATGGAGCTGCTGCTGCTGATGGCGCTGCTGCTGCGGACAGTGACAAGGATGGCAACGCCGACGGAAGCTTTGCCCTCCCTGCTGCTGCTGCTGCTGCTGCTGCTGCTGCTGCTGCTGCAGTCCCCGGAAGCC